CTTGCTATAGACAAGAGGAAATATTAGTAATCACACCTTTACTCAGAAAGGGACTTTAGTGAGGTATCCAACTATATGTGGAGGGGAGAGGGGTCCTCACTTTCATTTCCTCTCCACAGCTTAGTCTGCTTTTTCCCAAGGGCTATCCTTTAATACCCAGCTCTATCCATTTTACCCTGAGGTAGCATAGCTTCAGTATCTACTTATCACTCTGGCTTTAGAATTCTGCTCCATTATTTTTTAGTCTCTGGGAAATTAATTTTCTTATTTTGAAATTAGTACATTTAAAAATAAGTGTGCAATAAGACTAATATCTAAGAGTTTTATAAATGAAGGGTTTTTCTGATGATCTATGGTACCATATGGAACTATAAATACTATCTCTACACATGAGTGGTCTTAGAACAAATCTAATTCACCCCCTCAAAGACAACCCTCCATATATTTAGAAATAGCTGTGGAGCTCAATCCCCTTGTGTCTTATTTTTTAAAATGAGTTAGCCATCCTCTGACCCATTAAATTTTTTCCCATTTTACAACATATTAACCTACTAACATATTAACCTCTAAGAATATTTCAGTTGACTCTATGTTCCAAGAGCTGAAAACAAAACAAAACAAAAAACACTACAGGTAGGGCTGGGAAGCACAGTGCAAAACACTAACAACAAAAACTTCAGACTTTTTCATTAATATTGTTTAAGATAAATTTGCTTTTATTTTGCAGAAACATAACACTCCTCTTGTACTTGTGGTCTCTTAAATCCATATGTCTTTTTAAAGATTTTTGCTAAGCCATACTTCCAGATTTCATATTTGTCGAGTTGTTTTTACTAAACTGAACTACAAAAATTTATGTTTGTCTATTAATCCTCATCTTAAATTAAACTCATTGTTTCAGCCTATACGGTTCTCTTAGGAGTCTGATATCTAACTTATTTGTGATCTCTCCCATCATTGTAACATTTACATTTAGTCAATATTTTGTAATCCCCACAATTTCCCTCAGTTAGATTTCATGAATATATATCAACATCTGTTTTTTTTTGTTTCAAATTTCAAGTTTCCACTACCAAAAATATTTCTAAAGCTTGTGTGTGTGCATTTTATCCTAGCTATAGAATATTAAAGATGGAGTGTTAAGCCAAGGTGAAGATTTAGGTCTCAGGCTATAAATATATAAGAAATGAGGTATGCATATAAATGTAAACACTGCAGTGTGAATTAAAATGCAAATTCACCTTAAATTTTATAACTACCACAAATGTGCTGGGTTGACTGGTTAAAGATTTATTTAATTACTTCTAGCATACATTTAAAATGTCTTTGAAAAACATAGCACAACATTGAGGATGAGAGTTGCAAAAAATTCTCTTCATTTCTAATAACCTTTGTCAAAACACTCTTTTCTCTCGCAAACTTAATTTAATTTGGTCACCAATTAGCACATAAATTATAGAAGAAAATATAAACCAAAACATAATTTTTTTAAATTGTGTATGTTAAAATAACAAAGAGAGATTATCTTATTAATTTCCCAATTCCACCAGTATTTGTTATCTATTATACTTCTGGTACTATTCTAAATTCTAGAGATGGCAGTCAAAATCTTCACGGGGCTTAGTGGTGAGGCAGATAATAAACAAACAAACAATCACAGAATTGAATAAGTAATAAAATTATATAATATGTTAACTTAGGGGAAATGCTTTGAGCAAAGAGGAATAGGCAATGCCTTTGGTAAAGAGGGGCCATAATTTTAAATTGTTTCGTCAGGAAAGGCTTCACTGAAAAAAATGCCATTTGAACAGAAACATGAGGTAAATGAGAGAGTAGGTGTGCTGATATATGGAGAAATACAAAATACAAAAACTGTAAGGCATGAGAGTATGTGGAATGCCCCAGGGTATCTGCAATAAGTTGAGCAAGAGGGAGATTTTTATAACATGAAGTTGCAATGGAAATGGCCAGGTTCTGTTTAAAATTTGGAGGTAAAATTAACAGGATTCATTGTTGGATAGAATTTGCCATGTGAATGAAAGAGGAATCAATGATGAGACCAAAGTTTTTTGCCTGAGCATCTCTAATGAAAGAGTGATCATAGATTGGGATGGGAAAAGCTGGAAGGCAATCATGCTTGTTGGAGAAAGATCAAGTTTATTTTAGACGTGCTAAGTTTGATAAGCCTATTAGCCATTTAATAGAGACACAAAGTGGGCAGGATATCTGAGTGGGAAATTCAAGTGGCCCAGTTTTCTATGGCTGCATAGCGAACTACCCAATACTCAGTGGCTTCAAACAATAATTTATTATTATTTCTCATGGTTGACTGGGCTCAGCTGAATGGTGCATGTTTTGGGTCTCTCATATGGTTGCAGTCAAATGGAGACTGAGGTTAGTCATCTGAAGGTCTGAATTGGCATGTGAAGAACCCATTCATATGATGTGCTGTTGCTGCTATCAGTTAGCTAGAAGCTCAGCCAGGACTATCCACAGAAGCTATGCTACCTCAGGGTAAAAATGGATAGAGCTGGGTGTGAAAGGATTTAGAGCTGGATCTTAAAGGGCAAGAGGGGAAAAGCACATTAACCTGTGGAGGGAAAATGAAACTGAGGATCTCTCTCCTGTAATCTTTCCTCCTGACTTTGGCCTGCATGATGACTAGGTTCCAAGAAGGAGATCCAAGAAACAACCATTCCAAATGCCCAAATGCAAGTTGCAAGGCTTCTTTAACCTCACATTGGAAATCACTTAGCCTCACTTCTCTATTTTGCTGGTCAGGAGTAAGTCACAGGGTCAGCTTAGATTCAAGGGAAGGGGGGTGTATGAGAATGAGAATACCTGTAGATGCAGCTCATAGAAGGCCATTTTTAGAGATTAGCTACTACAAATGAACATATATAGATTCAGGTATCATGAGTCATACAGGTGGTGTTCAAAGCAATGAGATTTGATGAAAGTGATAAAGGAGTGAGTATGGAGAAAAGAAGAGGATCCCAAACTGAGCCTCAGGAATTGTAACATTTAGAGATTGGGAAAAACAGAACAAACAAACAGAGAAGAAAGGCCAGAGAAATAGGAGAAATACCAGGAGAGTGTAGTGACCTGGATGCCTAAGGAACAAAGAGGGAGGTACTAATTATGGCAAACGCTACTGATCATTAAAAACAATGAGGCATACAAATTGGCACCTGAAAGTCATTGGTACAGTTTCACTAGAGTCCTTTGATGCATAAAAGTTTTTAATTTTGATAAAGTCTAATTTATCTATTTTTTCTTTTGTTACTTGTGCTTTAGGTGTCAAATCCATTGCCAAATCTAAAGTCGTGAAAATTAATTACGTGTTTTCTTCTAAGAGCTTTATAGCTTCAGCTCTTATATTTAGGTTGTTGACTCATTTTTATGTTAGATCAGTTAAGAAAAAAAAGTAAACGTTTTTATTTTACCTTCACTTAATCCATCTGTAGTGCTCTTCATTGCTGTAATATGAAGAGCCAAGAATCTTCAGACCCAATATTCTGACCTATATTGTTTTCCTTCTCTCAAAAGAACTTCTTTTAACATTTCTTGCAAGTCTAGTTCATTGGCAACAAATTCCCTTAATTTTTGCTTGTCTGAGAGTCTTTAGCTTTGAAGAATAATTTTATAGGATGCAACAGTCTAAGTTGGTGTTTTTTTGTTGTTGTTTTGTTTTCTTTTAATGTTTCTCTTCTTCCATTCTCTTCTTGCTGGCATGGTTTCTGAGGAGAAGTCAGATATAATTCATATCTTTGTTCCTCTACAGGTAAAGTGTTTTGTTTCCATTTGCCCACTTTTCACTTTACTTCTGATTTTCTGTAGTTTGAAATTATATGCCTAGGCTTGATTTTTTTCTTTTTTCTTTTTTTCCTTTTCTTTTTGTATTTATCCTACTTGGTGTTCTCTAAGCTTTCATGGTCTGAGATTTTCTGTCTGACATTAATTTGGGAAAATTCTCAGTCATTACTGTTGCAAATATTTCTTCTGGTCTTTTCTCTCTTCTCTTTCTGGTATTCCAATTATACTTTTGTAGTTGTCCCACAGTCCTTGGATATTCTGTTCTTTTTTTTTTTTCTGTCATTGTTTTCTTTACTTTTGATTTTTGAGGATTCTATTGAATATATCCTCTAGCACAGAGATTTTTTTTGCCTCAGCTGTGTCCAGTCTACTAATAAGCCCATCAAAGGCATTCTTTTTTTTTTTTCTCTCTCTCTCTCTTTCTTTATTATCTCTTTTTGGTTCATTCTTAGGATTTCCATCTCACTGGTTACATCACCCATCTCTTCTTTCATGCTGTCCATTTTACCCATTAGCCTCCTTATTTTATATATCCATAGTTGTTTTAAATTCTGTCTGTGATTATTCTGCCTCTTCAAATTTTTTTTTTGTGTGTGTGTTTTTGTTTTGTTTTGTTTTTCTTGCCTTTTGGTATGCCTTGTCATTTTTTCTTGACAGCCAGACATGATGTACTGAATAAAAGAAACTGCTGTAAATAGGCCTTTAGTAATATCATGGAGAGCTATCGTGGTGGGAGGAGGATTCTACAGTCCTATGATTAGGTCCCAGTCTTTTAGTGAGCCTGTGCCTCTGGGCTGTGAACTTCACAAGTCTTTTCAGTTTTTTCTTCTCCCCATTCAGATTGAACAGGATTGCTAGAGGCAGCTGGAGATGGATATTGCACTTCCCCAGGTTAGGTTCTGATAATACCCAGCAGGCTAGGTTCTGGTTAACTAGTTTCCCCTGACGACAGACCTTGTTAAGCACAGGGTACTCTGGGGTATTTCAAAATGGTTCCTTTCCCTTTACCCCTGCCAGAAGCTACAGCGGATTTTTCTCCAGTATTTACTGTGGGAATATGGTGGAGCTGTTGGAGATACATCTCATGATGTTGTGGGGGTCTCTCTGGAGTTTTTAACTCTCAGAATTGTTCACACTGAGCCTCCAGCAATTTGTCAATTACAGTTCAGATTTTTACTTCCCAGGCACTGGTTCCCGTGGTGGCTTCCATTTCCCAGTCTCTACTCAGGTAAGCTGTGATTTCCTGTATGCATCTGCTTCTGCAACCCTGGGGGCAGTAGTTTGCCCTGTGTCCTCCCTTCTCTTTCGGATCCAAAAAAGCTGTTGATTTTTCAGCTTTTTTTTCTGTTATGTTGTAGTAGTAACTTCCAGGCTCCTTACATGTGAAACTAGAAATTGGATTTTAAAAATTATATTGTTAAGAGATTTTAAATGTCTAAAGCTCAGTACACATGCTTGCAACAATCATGCAACACTCTATGATTATATTCTAGCTTAGCAGTGTTTGTAAAGATAACCTGTAATATTAACTTTATTAAAATTACTATTATTTTTTCTTTGTTAAGGCATTTATTAATAATTCACTCATTTTCTCACCAGAGTATGTAATAAGTATATATAATCAGTGAAACTGGTGATTTGCATTCTGAATAGATGTATAATATGCAGTTTAGGATATTAACAGGTAAATAAAATAATTTAAGTAGCTGTGAAAATGAGATGAAAAAGATTTGTAGACTTTTTTCTTTTCTAGAAAATATAAGTTCCTGGGGCATTTTTATCCATTTTCGTGGGGTTGTTGTACTGGTGCTTTGAATTTATTTTGATATATTTTTTATGCTGCTGGTCAGTAGAGGGAGTAGTCCATAAGAGGGTGGTATTAGTGTGTGTGTGTGTGTGTGTGTGTGTGTGTGTGTTTCTTAACTGATGATGTCTATAACCTTAGAAGAATGAAAAAGAAACAAAACCCCAAAAGTGCATAGTCATGGTTCAATACAAAGTTTAGCAAACTTTTGAAAAGTTGGGATGAAAATTTAAAAACATATAAAATTAAAATATATTTTGGTAGTGAAAAAGATATAATCATACAATTAATTGTAATTACCAACTGGTGTATTTTTTTATACTCTTTTTCTATGTGGGAGTCACATGACATTTTAGATCACTTCTGAAAATATCCAGCTTCAATCAAAAATCTAAAAAAATTTTTAAAACCATTATATTGAATATGCTTGCTGTTAAAATCCTTTGCTCTTGTCTTCTTTTACTCTTCCTTCTTTTACTACTTTACTTCTGAAGGGGAGAAGATGAACACCTTCAATATTGATTTGTTGGAAACAAAATATGATCTTTTTTTCTACATTGCTGGATGAGATGAGAACAAATTTTTCTTTGTATACATAATCACTGGATATCATTTAGAATTAGACAAACTTAGCTATTACACAATGAATTTACATTAAATGCACATTTGCTGAATGTCAGTAATTTGCCTAAGTGCCGGAAATAAAAGCATACTAAGAGGTACTCAGTAGAAGAGGCAACCACTCCTTTCAGGTTGATCATAATGCAACTTGAAACAGCATGTAATGACTCATTCAAATGACTAAAACAACCCGTAAAATCAGTTGTTTAGTAAATAATATTATTGAGGCAATATAATAAACCATGTTTCTATGGCCATTTTGTCCTTTTGCGCCTATATAAAATTATTCTATTATGGAACACTCTACAAGTCAGAGCTTATGACAGCCCATGTACAGTACTTTATAGATGTTACAAACATTTAGATTCAAAAAGATAAACACAGCTCCCTTTTCTTTCTTTTAATTATAAAAGTATCAAGGTCAAGATTGATATATATTTATTTTCTAAGTAGTGACAAGAGATGAATGCTTTTACATACATATTCACATACCGTATTGCCCATGTATATTACACACCCTTTTTTGAAAAATTTAGAGTCTAAAATCTGGGTGTGTCTTATACAGTGGTTGTACATTTTTTTTACTTGCTTTTCCCGCTTTTTTCACACTTGTTTTTGCACTCATATAACCACTGTATAAGACGCACCCAGTTTTTAGACCCTAAATTTTTTGAAATTATACATGGGGAAATACGTATATACTAACCATAGATTTGTCCAATTACAGGTTATTTTTACTAATTTTTAATGTAGGGGGCTGATAAGGGGAGATGAAAATTGACAAGAAAAAAAAGATAGATAAAGGGATGCTATAAGTAGTCAAACATAAGCATGGTCATTGTTAGGCATGTAGATATGACACACATGGAAGTTATCTGTGACCCAGGCCATCCTTGCATTTAAAACTAAATAGAAAAGGAAAGGTGGAATGCTATGCTTGTTGAAAAATGGTGATTAGAAGATCAGGTAAAAACATTATTTTCTCAAAATGAACCAGCTACTCTCTCTTTCTTTAGGAAGTTTAAACCCAAGATAAGGTAAACATGCATGCTAATAATGTAAGTCTGAGGAAAAACATAATTTGTATCTTAGGTTCAGTTTTCTAGAGTCTGAGCCTGCCTAAAGCAGAGATTTGGACTCCCAGATTTATTGGAGCAGTACTCTTTGATAAAAACTTGTGGGCGAGTGGGGGAAGAAAAATGAGGAGAAAGAAAGAGCTAACAAGAATGTGGTCATAAGTAAATTCTGTCATTAACCCGATCAAAGAAATTTTCTGGAGTGTAAACTGCATTGTAGAGGTATTGTGCTTTGTGACTGGAAGTAGCTTGTATATCCCTATGTAATCAGGCGTTATCAGCATCCCTGGGAGTAAGGAAGTAGCCTCCCAGAAGGAGTTGAAAGGGAGGAATTGGCTCTGTTGGCCAAGGTAAGGCTTCAGAGAAGGCTGTGTGTATAAATCATTTTCCCAACACTCAGCAGGAATTGAGAGCTCCAGCAAGGAAAGGGGACTTGGGTAGGGCTCACAAAGAGTTTGCTCCTTTATTCTAAGTAAATGTACAAAATAACAGATGAAAGAGTTTAATTTCAGCAGAATGATTTGTCAAAGATGTTATGAGAAGTTGGTTTCCCTACCTCACTAGAGCTTGCAACTGAGGTTCTCCCATTTCTGTTACTTGCAGAATTACTTGTAGGAAATACCAGAATTCCTTTGGCAATGATTTTTTTAAGCTGTATCTAGTAAAATAAATTCAAATAACTCACTTCTGGTTTTTATAGGTATATTACCAGTGAAGGTTGCAGGTTATCTCGAAGAAATATGAAACATGAAACATGGATGTTTTATGGTGCAAACCTTTATAGTTTTTGTCAATTTTTATTACTGCAGCTTTGAGTTTATGCGTGGTTTGTTTTTGTCGGGGAACACATTTTTCTATTTTGTATTTCTGGAGCTAGTGTTTTAAAGATCTTATTTAGGAAAGTCTGTTTTTTCCCTTCTATTTACATTGTGGTCTTGTGATTCAATGACAATAGAGGGAGATGTATTGTATTGGGAGTTTGTAAAATTCCTATGGTCAAGAGAATTAAGTATGTGGGCTTTGGGGAAGTAATAATCCTCCTAATGATTATACCCAAGGACTAAGGTAGGTGTGGAAGTTGAATCAACTTGCGTCTGTAATGTGTTCATGGTCTGCTTGATTGCAGAGTATGAATCTTCCTGATCATAATACAATTTTACATTCAGTCTTATATGTCCATGCTTGCATTAAATTTAGGTTTCTTGAACACATTTTCATAGTATGCGTTAAAAAGTACCAAATGGGGATCTAACGTATAACCTAGTGACTATAGTTGATAATACATACTGTATAATTGAAAATTGCTAAGAGAGTAAAACTTAAATGTTCTCGCACACACACACACACATGCACACACACACACACAAAGTCAGTAGGTGAGGTGATAGATGTATAATTAACTCAATGGGGGGGTCCTTTCAAAAAGAAATAAAAAAAGTACAAAATGATAATAGGAAAAATCCATAATTCTAGTCTTCTGAGGAGAAAGCCACCCATTTGGGAAGTTATTAAATGTTATGCAACCATGGACTGTTCCCAGATGAGCTTATTGTGTTACTATATTATCTGTACTAGGAAGGATTATGTTTTTGTTTTTTTTTTCAAACAGAGGCTATGAAATGTTTGAAATGTTCTTTGGTGAATTGCATAAGAATGTTTTGCCTGAAGGAGGGAAATCAATCCCCAGAGACAGAAATTAGGTTTTTACAGGAATCTTTGCCGTGATGGTCATAAATGAGATGCTTAGGGGCAGTGATCTCCCATTATCGCGCTGCTGTTAAGACACTAAGGAAGAAACTTAATTCCTTTCACAACCCATGAAGTAGGGGCCTTCATGTGTGGAAAGCGGAAGTCTATGTGTGGGTAGCATCAGGGTTGATTTGAAAAAGTATGGGCTAGTAGTAAGCCAAACATTTCAAGAAATCTCAGGCCTCAGGAGAGGTCAGTGGTAAAAATCATAGAAACTGGAGCTGGATCAAGAGACTGGGACACTCCCACCTTGCCTGCTGAGCATGTCAACATTTAAGTGGCACTTGCTTGACAGTCTTTCCTGAGAAATTCCCTGGTCTATCCAGTAGATTTTGCCATTCTTTCCTTTGAACCCCACAGAGCACCCCCATGGTGGTCTAACACAGCTCAGGGCACATCACCACATGGCAGTATGGTCTTAATGCAAAACCAGGAGTCAAATATTTGAGCAGAGCCTCATCTTGTGTCTTCTCACTACATAAATATGGTAGCTTGTTTATCTTCTCTGAGTCATTTTTCTCTTCTTTACAATCATCAAATTGTACCTTATAAATAAACACAGCTAATTTAAGAAATACCAGACACACCATTTAGCATGGAGATAAAAGGTTTTGCTTTGGAACATGACAGATTTTAAATCGTTGTTCACAACTTAATAGCTATGTGAATTTGGGCAAGTCTTAATTTTTCTAAACCTTAGTTTCCAGTTGGTAATCAAGTTAGTGCATCAGATTTGGAATGGGAAACTTCTCTAAGCTTGATACAAGCACATATTAAGTGTATGTGTTGATTGTTGTAAAGTTTACATTTATATATGAAATATAATTATAGCTATAATTATATTTTGTTTATGATATGAAGAATTGTCTTTGGCATGCCAAAAACCTTTACTGAATAATCCATTTTTTACTGAAAGACAATGTTATCTTTGTAATGTATTATTTTATCATATATACAAATTTTATTTCTGGATGTTCT